GAAAAGGAAATCGACGAATCAAACTCAGCTGTATTGTTCTATTGACGTTCAGTTCCAGAATAACGATCCAAATTCGGTAAAAAATAGTTCTATCGCCTCATATTTGACTCATTTCAACTGCAAAAGACTGAACCAGTTGTCAATTAGCTCTAGTAACGAGGCAAAAGATATCGAATAAAAGATTAACATGTCCAAGTTTGAGGTCACCGGTTCTATAACCAGCAAAAGTCGAAGAAATCCACCGATGCCGTATATAACGTCGTCTCTTCAGCAAGATGCTGGAGACAAATTGAACTTTGCAGCATCGCACACAATGAAAGTTGCACAAAAGCTTTTCGAGGGAGTCGAATTATCCGATGGCAAGGCTGCTGGTTTAATAACTTACATGAGAACCGATGGACTGCACTTATCGGATGAAGCCACTAAGGAAATTCAATCCTTCGTCGTGGAGAAGTTCGGCCAAAATTTTGCAGAAAAGAATAAACGCAATTATTTTAAAAAAGTTAAAAATGCTCAGGAGGCTCATGAAGCTATTAGGCCCACCGATATCCGAAGACTACCATCAATGCTTGCTGGTGTGCTCGATGAAGACTCACTGAAGTTATACACTCTCATATGGAATCGTACGGTTGCATGTCAAATGGAACCTGCTATAATCGAGCACATACAATGCGATATCGCGAATGCTAACCAGTCCATTGTTTTCCGTTCTTCATGCTCGAGAGTAGAATTTGAAGGCTTTCAAGCCGTTTACCCGGATGAAGAGAACCATCATAGCGAAGAAGCGTACAAGGTCTTGAGTGCATTGAAATGCGGGCAGCCATTGTCGCTGACCAAAGTAGAGGTCGGTCAACAGTCGACGCAGCCTCCGCCCCGCTACTCCGAGGGGGCGTTAGTAAAAAAGCTGGAGGAACTCGGCATAGGAAGACCTTCTACGTATGCAACCACTATTAAGGTGCTGGAAGATAGAAATTACGTAACGGTCAAAAGCAGTACACTGCATCCAGAATTTCGTGGGCGTATGGTGTCCGCTTTCCTCGCTCATTATTTTTCCGAGGTGACGGATTACAGTTTCGCCGCTGACATGGAGACTGAACTCGATAATGTTTCTTCTGGAATAACCGAATGGAAAGGCCTTATGAAAGATTACTGGACTAGATTTAGCAAGCACTGCGAGTGTGCTAGCGGTGTAAGTATCCAT